TAAATCAGTAAAACAAAAACAAAAAAACCAAAAATCTTTCTAAGTAATTAGAATTGGTAGGAATTCTAAAAATCACCAGCCTATATCTGTACTCTTTCCTATACTGACTCATACTTTCAATGTCCTGATTTTTTTTTTTTTTTGCCTCTCTTCTTACCACTCTAAAACTTAAGCTTAATGTCTTTCTTTGAGGCACTTCAGCAATTGAGAACTTGTCAGTTTTTATGAAATTACTTGGAGGAAATTGGCTTAAAATAGGAAGCATTAAGAATTGACAGAAGAGTCCAAATAATTGCCTACCTTCACATTTTATTTAATCATATTCAGTGCTCAACAAATGCATTGATCTTAGACGGATTCAATTTGGATTCGCAAACTTATTTTCTTTCTTCCTTTTCAATATGAATGTAGAGGTGATTTCCTGGTGGTTGACTAGACCAAAAGGAAAGTCTAGAATTAAACAGCAGGCAGGCCTCCTGTTCTGGGTTCCGTTTACTTGGCAGTCTAGATTTACCTTTTCATTGGTCTTAGAGGAGACTCCGCACTGGTTAGCAGAGTCTTGTAAATGACTAAGCTGGGCATGAATAAATCTCATACAAATCATCTTACTCTCAGGGCTCCCTGGTTCCTAGTACTCCATACTGGACAAACTCTGGGCAGGTGGGGGCAAAGTGATTGTCACTCATGGCTACTTACTTGGCTCTCGGCTAAGGGACCTTATGACAGGAGACCTGGAGATGGACAGCATGGTATTCTGGCCAATACAGTATTTGCCAAGAAAGTAGAGTCTAGGTACCAAGACAGAAAGGAAGGTAACTGAATGAGATGAGTATGTTCATTTGCTTGACTGTAATAACCATTTTATTATGTGCACCCATACGAAGATAAGGCTATGGAAGCATCATGTTATACACACTAATTATATACAGTGAAATGTAAGGAAAGAGAGATCATTGTAATTTCCATAGTGTTCACTTATTATTATAAAAGGTTCTGTGAAGAGCATTCTGACCATAAATTCACAGTACCTATTTCCATGATTGGCTTGAAGGTACAGTCCTAAAGTGGAATTACTGTGTCACTTTCATGGAAGGCAGAGCCTAGCTTTACACATCTGTTCATCAGTGTGAAAGTGCCTGCTTCTGTGGCTATACTGGGTGCCCTACTTGTTTTGAGTCTGTAAATCTCTAAAAAACCAAGATATCTTATTTTAATTATTGGTAATCATTTCTTTTGCTCATTTGCTTATTTTCATATTAAGGTGGTTATCTTGTTGCTTGTGAAATATAACTTTCGTCTGTCATGGGGGAGAAAATTCTTTTTTTCACTTGGTTATTTGCCTTTTTTATACTATATGTGGTTTCTTTTAATACAAAAAAAAAGGTAAAAATTCCTACCAATCTTTTCCCTGGATGTTTCTGCTTCTGTTTCTGTGTGTATAAAGGTCATTCCCCAAGAACAAATAGGCATTCATCTTTTTTTTCCTAGTTTTTTTAAAATGTATTTTGCATCTCAAAATGTGAATTTTTAATTCATCTGAGATTTATTTCCCTATGTAGAATGAATGTCATTTTTTTTGGTTTCTCAGAATTTGTGTATAATTTTTCTGCAGACATTCCAGATGGTCCCTTCTTTCCTCACTGTTTTCAAATACTACTTGTATGAATTGTTAAAATCCCCATACTCTTGACACAACTTCTTAGCCTTCTTTTTGTTCCATTAATTTGTGTATCCTTGTTCTAGCAGTATTGTACCTTTGCATTTGTCATTATTTTCCCTTCTTAAAGTATTCTTGGCTATGTTCACTAGTTTGTTTTTCTGGATCAGAGTCAGCAAATCTTTTCTGCAAAGTGTCAGGTAATTAATATTTTGGGCTCTACAGGCCAAAATGGTTTGTTAGTAATGCTCAGCTCTGCCCTTTAGTGCAAAGCAGCCATAGACAGTAGTAAAGGAGGCTGTATTCTAATAAGCATTGTTTACAAAACAGGCTGGGCTTGATATCCTGAGGGTCCTAGTCTGCCAATCCCTATTCTAGATGAATTTTTGAATCATTTTATCAAGTTCTTTCAAAACTCCAATCATTCTCACAAACACATAAAAAAGTACATAATATATTATGTATAGCAAACATGTTTACCTATTATGTACACACGTAGTACACGTTCTATGCATACATGTTACATACTAGAGAGAGAGGAATTTGGTTATAGTGACATCATCCTCATAAAATGTCCTGGCAGAAATGTAACATCTTTATAACATAAGATCTTCCTGTCTGCTAGCATTAAGCATTACTTTATGTTAGACACCAACATTTTATGATTTCCTTCTCTTTTTTTGGAGGTACTGGGGTTTGAACTCCAGGCCTCATGCTTGCTACATAGGCGCTCTATTACTTGAGCCATTCCACCAGCCCCCTATTGTTTCCTTTTTTACTAGTCCTGAAATCCTTGCAATGTTCTCTACTCCAGTTGCCATTGCAAGTGGGGTCTGTTGTCACTGACTTCACGATTTCCTGCCTGTTCTGCGGTTTGTTAGAAAGACCCTAAAACTCAAGATTATACAGGCCATCTGTAAGGGGATGGAGGAAGCCACTAGGGGACTCCCTGTCTTCTTTATCCCTCCTGGCTAGAGGCCTAGCCCTGAATGTGATCATGCTTCTAGCATTCAGTGTGGCAATGCATGATTCTGCATCACAGCTAAGAACCTTTTGTCTCCACAGCTTGCTTTCATTTTAGTTTTCTTTCGGCGCATAGAGAATCTGTGTTCTTTTTATTAGGAAAATGTGATAAAACTCCAAGCAGCTCTCAGACAGCAAGCCCTGTGCTCACCAAATTGCTTTATTACTATGGCAGGCCTGGATTTAAACTGCTTTAAAGCTCTCTCTCCTCTCTTTCTTTTCTGTAATTCTTCCCTGTAGTTTGTTGCTCAGCAAATTCATTCATTCTTAACTGCAGGGTGAAGGTGAAAATCTTGGAAAACCTACTCATTATGTGAGGAAAAAAATCTCAAATCATTCTTAAGAAAGGCTTAACCTTACCTGGTGCTGAAAACTGGTTCTTTTCATAGTTTAACTCTGCTTTGTCACAAAGACAAAGGGAAACAAAGCCAATTCTGCAGCTGACCTTTAGAGACATCAGGAGGGCCTGCCTGGCACCCCACTTTGACTCTGTAACTTTCTTCCTCCCCTTGCCTGGCAGACCTGCTATCCGTTATCTGTTTTCTTTCCTGCATCTCCAGCCTCCTAGAGGCTAAGGGGCGGCTAGAATTGTACTTGTTTCTTAGCCTAAACTCTCCAATAAATGGCAAGACCTGGCATTCTGAGAGGAAGATACTTAGTATGACTAGCACTGAGCTAATGGGCTTGAGTTCTCACTGTGATGTGTCACTGCAATGTAAGTATCGCTGTGGTGTGAGTGATTTGCATAGGTACCTCCTTTTTAAAATGTCATAACACTGGGTAGCTGCAAAGGGACAAAACCAGTGGTTACCAAGAGGAGCCACCTAGGTGCGGAGGAGAGAGAGGAGCATCAGGGAATCTCTCTGGTTGGGATCTGAATGCGGACTGGCAGGGCTTCACTTCCCCAATCGCTCACTTCCCACTCTCTTCAGGATTGACCTAGGCTCTTCTGACTGTGAGGCTACAGATCCTTTTGTGGTCCTCCAGGGTGCTTTTCTTCCAGTCCTTTCTTTTTGTCTTCTGCTCTTTATGCTCTGTCTTAGCAGGAACAGTCATGGCTCCCTGCTCATCTGTTTCAGACACCCCCTAATCTTTTGACTCATACCCTGTTCATACTGCAGACAATTTGCAGTTTCCTGCCTAAAGTAGGCAAAGGGGCCCCTGTAATGTCACTAAATGGCCCTGGCTGTTATGCTTTTACTGAGCAGCCCGCCCTGTGTATGCTAGTATTCAGCATCCGTGGATTCAGCTTTTGTCTGCTAAACATGTACAGGTGTTTTTCTTGTTATTACCTAAACAATATAGAATAATAACTATTTACATAGTATTTGCATTACATTAAGTATTATAAGTAATCTAGAGATGATTCAAAGTATATGGAGGATGTGTTTAGGTTCCACATCCTTTTGTATAAGGGACTTGAGCATCTGAGGATTTGGGATTTGGGTATCTGCAAGGGTCCTGAAACCAATCCTATATGGATTCTAATGTTGAAAGACAATCTTATGGAAAACTAGTCAGGGGCCCAGTCCACTGAAGGACAAAGCCTAAGTCACTTCACATAGGAATAAACTGTTTTTACTTATTTTTTGTTGTTGTTGCAATACTGGGGTTTGAACTCAGGGCCTCATGATTGCTAGGCAGGTGCTCTACCACTTGAGCCACAGTGCCAACCCTTTTTTGTATTGGGTATTTTTGAGATAGGGTCTTATGAGCTATTTGCTCAGGCTGGATTTGAACCAAGATCCTCCTGATCTCTGTCTCTGGAGTAGCTAGGATTATAGGCGTGAGCCACCCACGCCTGGCTTCCACATAGGAATAAATTATGAGCTCTTCAACATCTATTAGGTGTTGGTTCAATCATGAATCAGAGTGGATTTTTTAAGAATTTTGCAGTGTAGATTAAGGGTTTTTTTTTTCCCTCCATAAACAAGAGCCACTGTGTTTTTCTTTTCCTACCACTTTTTGTCTTATCAGGAAACACCAATTAATTTTGATAGTAGCCCAAACAAAGCATAATTAGGAAATAAGCCAGCTTCAGAAATACAGTATCCATTTCTGAAATTTCCTATCTTTCTTCCTTTCTATCCTTCTTGCCTTTTCCTCACTGTTATAAATTATCCAGGTCATCCTTGAATATAAAGTGTTGTAGTACCCAAAGACCTCACCAACACATCCAACTGCATTTAAATAATGACTCTAAGTTGTTTCTTGGTTCTAGAGAAAAACAGACTCCCTGTATGCGTCTCCACCAGTGGGTACAGTGCTGACTGGCCCATGTGATCCCTCAATAACAGAATGTCACTTGGATCTATTTCAGAGTTCCCTAAAGAGAAGAGGCAGTCGGGAAATGTTCAGAGAGAAGAAAGCCTTCAACCAGGTAAGCAGAGGCTTTTCATATTGATGTTGCATCTCCTAACGAGGAAGGTACCCCAATTTGAATTTTCTCAAGAAAGTGTTAGCTTTGCCTTAAAAGCATTCAAAGAAATATCACCTGCCAAAATATTTGGATTCATTCAACCCTCCATGGGTTGAACATTTTCTTTCCAAAGCTGCAGTTCCTGCCTTTTGTTTCTCTCTTGCACCAATAATTCTTTCTTTAGGAAAGAGAACAAACTGGCTTTGTGTGAAGCACAACTGGTTGTATTTCAGGGGTCTGGCTGTACTCCTAACTGGTAGAAAGTATTTTGGCCTTCAAAGTCATTCACACAGTAAAGTAATAAAGCCACTGGATGGTTGGGTCATTCATAAGCCATTGTTTTGTGAGCGTGTGTGTTTTAAATGTGCAGCTAAACAATACCTTAAATTGTCCTAATGAAAAGTAACATATTTGAACTGGAAAAACAGTAAAATCTCAGCTCTTTTTATGTAAGGATTCATGTTCTTCAAAGCTTTCTTAGCTCTTCTGAAAAGTTGTCTTACTGGATTGCTTTCTTTATAAAATTGCTGCTAGTATTAGGTGTTGGAGAAAACAAAGGTGGTACTGGGGTATCAGCTCACCCAACTCTAAGAGCCAGAAGTAACTGGAGAATGTCATAAGTTGGTTCGCTACAAGTGCTTGGAGGCCTCTTAGTGCTGCCCTGTCCCTGAGAACTCCCTCTACATGATTCCCTCTGGTTCTTGGGTCCTCCAAACCCAAGGGCCCCAAAATGTTATTTGAGTAGGACCCAGCTGCAAAAGCAGCAGGAATGCCAAGGATTAACTCTTTTCTTCCACCGTCTCTAGTCTCTCGAATCTCACCTTGAAATCCACTCGCCACAGGGAAATCAAAAGCATCCCACTGCTGGACGCTTCCACTCTCCTGAGCTTAGAATTTGTCTCCAGTTTCCTGACTCTTGACCAGTGCAGAGCCTTTCCCTCGAAGGGCCAGTACTGTCTCCTGATGAGAGAAACAGCGTGATGAGGGAACAGCATTCACTTGTGTGTAAAACAGACCAGGCCAGCCATAGGAGCTGCTGTTCCTGGGGTGTGTGTGAGGGCCCCGGGCCGGAGCTGTGTGGGGTTGTCCCACTCTGCTGGTAGAATAATTGAGAAAGGAGTTTCTGTCCAGCAGAATGGTGGAATGGAGCGCCTCGGGAACTTCAGGTCGGCCACCAAAACCCAAAGGAAGCTGGTACCCCGGCGCAAGGTAGGCACATGAGCAGTCAGCTGCTGGGGTGCTAGCTAGATGGCAGACTTGCAAGCCAAAGAATATATAGCGACGGCAATATATTTCTGTTGCTTGACAAGCCTTTTCGGCTGGTGGTGACGGTGCTGTTCCCTGTGTGTCTGACCCCATGCCATGCTTGCCTTCTCTGTCCGCAACAGGAATGGTTCCACATAGAAAGTTGGATTTAACCTTGGATTTTCATAGGGCATTCCAGGAGCTATCTGATGGGCTTTTGAAACCAGAGTTTGATATCTTTAAGCATAGGATTAGGTCTAGACTCCTCCCCTAAGGTCTTGGCAGAGTTGTCAGAAGTCTTCAGTTACAACATAAGCCCCCAGTTTTTGAGTCGAGGCTGAGATTCCACTTCTGATCAGAGGAGTGGCTCCCTACTCAGCTTCCCTTGGGGGTTGGGGGGACCTCTCTCTCACACACAGCCCCTGCAGAGCAGTGGGCCTTCAAGGATGAAGTCTGACCCCTTTGTTTACCACATGCTTCCTTGGCTTCAAAGTTGACTTTCTCTCCTCTCCGGCTCTGCTTCAGTCCTGGTGGCAGGCTTTGTAATGCGTGCATGGGTGTTGAGTTAATGACAGCATGCTTTATCATGTCAGACTTCTGTGGTTTGTGTAGTTCCTTTCTTTAAGGAGTAAGAAGACTTTGTGGACATTTTACGAATTCTCAGGTAATCTGCAGATTGGGCAGTTGACAGGGTATGTTGTGAAATTGTGCTGCTTTACCTGACGTGGGTTTAGGTTTGAGGAGATGGGGAGAGAATGGTGCTGGCGAGAGTTAGTATTGTAGGGTGTGGCGGAGGGAAGGGGTTCAAAGTTTCCAGAAGTCAGGGTGATTGGAGAGCTCTGTGAGATTTTCTATCTACCTAACAGGGTACAGATAAGTACTTAGAACCTCCAGAGTATTGCAGACTCTTTCTCAGAAAGCCTCCCTCTCCCATTTTCTCAGTTCACCTTGAAGGGAAGGAAACCCTTAGGAGAGATGCCTGAGAGTTAGTCCCTGACCAAAGCTTCCTGAGCTGTGCAGACCCCCTCCCTCCCTGCTCTGCCCCACATCAGGGCCTCACATTGCCCTGCCCATCCCTTGGTCTGGCCCAGCCTGCGGGCCCTTGCTGGAGGTGTCAAAGGGTGGAGCCTACTGCCCCTGTAGCTGGATGACATTCTTTTCAATGATCTCTGCTGCCTACACTTCTCTGCTTTAAAGGCGGAGATGGGAGCATACAGGAAACTTTGGACAATGGACAAATGCTGGCTATGTATCTGGTTACGGATGGGCTGAGGACCTCCCTTGTCTTCCTGCCCTCCTATTTAATTCCCAAGAGAATTCCATTATGCATTATTTGAAATCTCTCTCTATTGATAAATATTTTAGCTTCCTTTAAATTCCATTTCTTCATGTGAACAAGAGACCCGTCAGTGTATTTGGATTCCTTGCATATCTCTGTTTAACAAAAATTGGAAAGGTACTTTTGATTGTTTTGCTTTAGAAGGTTCTAAAAAACAGAGGTTGTATAAAAATACATGCCAACTTCTGCTACAGAGAAGGCAGTCAATAAAGATTTACTCAAAGAGTGAACAAATGAGCAAGCAAGCTTTTCCTTTGGTGTTAGGATTAGACACAATGTATGTCTTTAAAGCCCTGTGATGTATATATAGGCTCCTTTAAAAAAAAATTTACTGATCCAGCATTAATGACAACCCCTTGTGCTAGGGACAGGTTATGATTGGGATAGGTTATGATTAGGAGCCCTGTTTATGTGTGCCTAACCAAAAATCAAACCAAATCCTCGATGTGATAAATTCTCAGAACTGGAACACTGTGTGAGATTTATAGATTACTATCCTAATGCACAAACAGGGTTGAAAAAGCAGTTGCCGTCTTCTTTCTTCAGTATTAATTGCATTTAAGACAAAGAAGGAAGTTGGTTTTAGGACACTAGGATAGGGTGATCTGTGAATGCACTTTGCTGTGCATTATTTCTTATATTCATAATGGCCTTGTGGACTCTGCTGAAGGCAGAAAGAGATAGAATCACCAGACCTCTGCAGATCACCCAAGTCCCTGAGTGGTAGGGGGCAGAGCTAAGACTCTGAGCAGCATGTTTGACCCCAAACCCGGCAGGACTGGTTTTATCCTGCTCTTGGTGGAGAGCTGTGGGAGTGTCGCCACTCGTAGGGTGCATGAAGAGCACCAGGGCATGTACTCCACATAGCACTGGATGCAGTATGGACTTGGATTTTTCCCAAGTCTTCCCTGTCACTCATTTCTTCTTTCATGGGTTCATGGTGAGGCGAAGTCACGGCAGGGGGAAGGAGGAAAACCGGAAGGTGGCAAGGGTGGTATTCTTCTCCCAGATGGCGAAGAATGTGAGTGGTGGTGGTGGGGTGGTGAAAACTGTGCTGACCCTACCAGACCATTTGAGCACCAGTGATCCTCTGCTAGAGTTAACACTTCTGTCCTAGAGGGCAGACTTGTTCCTGAGCATGGTTGCAGCCTGGCCCACAGTGTGATGAGTCTCAGAGCTGCTGTTGACATTTTCTCCATATGATGGCGAAGCCTTTGCTGATACCTTTGTCCCACACCATCAATCAGCCGTTTGGATTTCTGATAGCCAATCAAAGAGTACTGATCTGTGAAATGGGTTGTCGTTCCTTTTACTGAATGGGGATAATTGAGCAACTTTATGAGGCCAAGATAAGACCAAGTAGCCTCTTGACCTCCACTGGGTGGTGCAGGCCATTAGTGGTAGAGCCTGCTTTGGGAAGCCTCTAGAATCCTCTGGTATTCTGCAGAGAACCACTTCTCAGGTCTGTGAACATTTGACTCTATCCAACACTTAGCTCCTTACTCTGGGTCTCTTTGAGTTTAATTTCCTCCTGTAACATAGCAATTAAAGGGAGTGGAGTAGCACTGAAGGCTCTGAAGTAGCTGTTGCGTGGCAAGAGGTTGGGAGTAGCCCAGATGTCCAGGTGTGTGGTGGCCAATGTGTGCTGACCTTTAGAGCATGGTACTGACATAGCACCTCAATCTGCAAACTCTCTCATGCATATCATCTCGTTATTTCATCCTCATGTCATTCTTGTAGTGCCTTGGGGGAAAGGGAGACAGCATGGGGCAGAGGTGAATTGCTGATCAGTGGAAATCTGGGCTCTGATTTGGCATTGCCTGACTTCCCCATCCTTGGGATATCTTATAGGTTGCCACCCACTTGGAATGAGGGGTTCTGTACCAGAGGAAGTGAGTGACCATGGGATGAGTGTGGTCCCTGAACCCTGTCAGCAGCACTACTGTTCAACAAGAGGCTCTAGTGTCTGTCAGTGCTGGTGATGAGCTAGGTTGGATTCACAGAGACACGAGGGGTCACCATGTTACCAGTGGGTGTTGGGTTTCATTTCATTTTTTTCATTCATAACTGTATGATGGCTAACATGTGCATGTTTTTCCCTAAACTAATTCTTCAGTTTCTTGTCTCCTATGACAAAGCAACAAAGAGGGTCTTTCCTAGGCCCCTTCCATCAAGGTTCTGGACTTGCCACTGCTTTGTTTTGGCTCCCTTCTCCACATAACTTGACAGCACTGACAGAGAAATCAGTATTTTGTGTTTATGTGTGTGTTTTGGGGGCGAGGTGCAAGGGGAATCATCAAAAACATGAACATTTGGTATTTTCAAATAACCCTTCTCCTGGGCTGTTCCTTCCTGGCAGGATGACAGTGCCGATTTGAAATGCCAACTGCAGTTTGCCAAAGAGGAAGCCTCCCTGATGCGCAAAAAGATGGCCAAGCTGGGGAGGGAGAAGGACGAGCTGGAGCAGGAGCTCCAAAAGTACAAGTCCCTCTATGGTGATGTAGACAGCCCCCTTCCCACGGGAGAAGCCGGTGGGCCCCCCAGTACCAGGGAGGCAGAACTAAAGCTGCGGCTAAAGTTGGTGGAGGAGGAAGCCAATATCTTAGGCCGGAAGATCGTGGAGCTCGAGGTGGAGAACCGAGGCCTCAAAGCAGAGATGGAAGACATGCGGGTCCAATATGAGCGAGAGGGCACAGGCCGGGACCATGTGCCAACCATTCCTACCTCACCCTTCGGGGACTCCCTGGAGTCTTCCACGGAGCTCCGCCGACACCTGCAGTTTGTAGAAGAGGAGGCTGAGTTGCTGCGGAGGTCCATATCTGAGATCGAAGACCACAACCGGCAATTGACACACGAACTGAGCAAGTTCAAGTTTGAGCCTCGGCAGGAACCAGGGTGGCTTGGGGACAGCGTGGGTAAGGGCACTGGGGCTGGGGCTCCCCTGCAGGAGGAGCTGAAGTCTGCCAGGCTGCAGATCAGTGAGCTGAGTGGAAAGGTGCTGAAGTTGCAATATGAGAACCGCGTGTTGCTATCCAATGTCCAGCGCTGTGACCTGGCCGCCCACTTGGGGCTGCATGCCCCAAGCCCCCGGGACAGCGATGCTGAAAGTGACACAGGCAAGAAGGAGAGTGATGGTGAGGAAGGCCGCCTGTCTCAGCCCAAGCGAGAAGGTCCAGTGGGTGGGGAGAGTGACTCTGAGGACATGTTCGAGAAAACATCAGGCTTTGGGAGTGGAAAGCCCTCAGAGGCAAGTGAGCCTTGCCCAGCAGAGCTGCTAAGGGCCCAGGAAGACACCGAGTGCCTGGTGACCATTAAACACGAGGCCCAGCGACTTGAGCGGACTGTGGAGCGCCTCATCACAGACACCGATGGCTTCATCCATGACTCAGGACTACAAGGCAGCAGCTTGGCCTTGCCTGGCATCCAGGGTGAGGGTGAGGTGGGTCAGAATGAGCCCCACCTGCTGGGGACCATTAACTTGAAGATGAAGGCCTTCAGGAAGGAGCTGCAGGGTTTCCTGGAACAGGTGACCCGGATTGGGGATGGACTGTCGCCCTTGCCCCACCTTACAGAGTCATCTAGCTTCCTCTCCACTGTGACCTCCGTGTCCCGGGACTCCCCCATCGGGAACCTAGGGAAGGAGCTGGGCCCAGACTTGCAGGTAAGGGGGCTCTCAGCATCGCCTCCCTGCTCCGTCTTGCTCTTCCTCCTTCTTGCTGGCATTGCTGCTCTGGGGCTCACACTGCTCACAGCTGCTTGGTTATGATTTCAGACCTGCATTGTACTAAAGCCTCCAACACCAACCAAATCCTTTCTCTTGGTTGGGTTGTTTTTTTTGTTTTGTTTTTTAAGTTTGCTTTTAGTTCCTTGTTTCTTCCTCCGTTTTCCTTTTATTTTTAACTGCACCGCTGTTCGCAGCTTAGAGGCCCTCTCATGTCAAGGCTTAAGCCCAGTGGAGGTTCTAGGGACTGATGCAGCCCGTCCTTGCTCCTTTCTTGGTATCTCAAACAACCAGCCACCCGACGAAGAAGCAATGAGGAGTTTTAAGACCAATACAAGTCCTGCCAGAGTCAGGATGGTTAGCAGACTTCCTAACGAGCGCCTGAATCCCTGCTTGGGTTTCTTCCCAAAGGGACACAATGCAGTTTTGAAAGGCCCTAGGCCGCCCAGGCTCACCCACTCCTACTGGAAGATAAGCCAGGCTGGGGGAGAGGAGCCCAGTTCTGAGAGAAGGCTGTTTTGATGGAAAATCCCCCTGCCGGCTTGCTCCTGCCGCCCCCTCCCTGCTGCCAAGGGCGAGGCAGATGGAGCAGCCTCATAAGGACCGCTTTCCCAGGCATCGCCCTGGGTGCATGGCCCAGCTGCCACCCTGGACTGTGGCTTGTGCTGCTCAACCCACAAGTAAGGAAGGCAGAGCCTGTTCTCCGTGTCTGTCATGGGCAGTGTGCCTGCAGTGAATCGTGATTCATGCACTCCCATTGCATGTGCCTCATAACCAGTGTTTTGCACTCTTTCCCTTCCCTCTTTGCTTTTCAGATGTTTCAGCCCATGCTTTTGCTCATCCTCATTTTGATTCCGTTCTTGTTGGTTTCCTTTGCCACTGTGTTTAAGTTGGTTTTCCTGTTCATGCTTTTCTTTGTCTGGTAGTTGTTTTTGTCGTCTGTTTTTGTTCTCTTTATCTGTCCTTACCCGCTTGCCCTTTGTTTCTTGTTTAAAATAAAACTTAAAAAAAAAAAATGAATCCCTCCCATACATCTAACAGTCCAAACTGAGAGACCAGCTGGAGTGGCAGCTCAGTCAGGACCGAGTGGATGAGCGAGAAGGCCTGCGCCTCCGAGCTACGCGGGAGCTGCACCGCCAGGCTGATGGGGATGTTGGGGATGTCGGGAACCAGCGGCCGGGAGGCCAGAGCTGCTTCAACCTACTAGAGGTGAGTGAGCTGGCAGTGAGTCCTCACTTTATCCTCTACCCCTTTACCCCTTTTTGCTGTGGCTGGGACAAGGTCCATAGGGAACATGGCAGGAGGACCTGGAGGCAGGTGGAAGTTCCTGGAATCAAAATTCATTGTAGGTAATGACTACTGGAAAATATGCACAGGTTGGGAGTTGATGCCTTATAGCAGCATCATTCTTTTCCCTACCCCTAGGCTTGTGTCCCCAGGTACCCATGGAGGTGTGACCAGACATGCTGGACTGACTTGTGAATGTTTCCTGTTCCATAGCAGAGAAAAGATGATGAAAACCAAACAGGGTCTTTCCTGTTCTTTATTGCCTGTGTCTCATGTGACCCACCCTGAGGTCTCTGGGGATGCAGCTCTGGCATGTTGGCAGAATCAGGCATGTCTGCTCCCTGCCTGTACCATCCTTAGCCCTCTCTGTTGCCACAGTAATGCCATTTACACACAGCTGCAGCCACCTGCACAGGTCCCAGCATTGCTGAAATAGTGGTCTGCAATCTAGTAAGAAGGGAGCTGTGAAACACGTCACCCCACCCAGAGCACAAAGGTCTTCCCCAGGAGCAGGACCTGGCCGACTCCCTGCCAGGTATTCAAGGTTATTGGCATTGCTAGAGTGGCAGGTTCTCCACTAGAAAAGGATTATAACTTCTGAGATACTGATGAAGATTCTAAAGAGCCTGAGTTTCTCAGTCCCTGTCCAGCTGTTACCACTTCAAGGCATGGGAGCGGCTCCCCCAGGGCAGGAATGAGGGAGGAGTGGGGACTGTCACAGCTGAAAGCAAACAGAAGCTCACTGGGCAGAAAAGTGAGACTGTGTGATTAGGAAATGGAGGCCCAGAGCTATGCAGAGTGGTGCTGATAAGATAGACTGCTAGTGCCATTGTCAGAGGTGGCCATGATGGGGACACTGACTCTCCCAGATGAGACCAAATGGCTGTGGTTTGGGGAAAGCCCCAAACCCTTGGCACTTGGCCCTGTAAGAGAGTGTGTCACATCTCTACCCTTGTGACTAGGCACACAAGAACATGAAAATTGCCTCTAAAAAGCTTGAGCAAAAGCAAAAAGTGTTGAGAAACATTACATGCACTCCCACCATCCTATGTGATCTGGAGAGGCCAGATCCACCTGAGAAGGTGACACCCAGGTCCACGTTCCAGAGGGAAGTAAATGTGGACCCATGACAGTGTGGCAGGAGATGCTTCACACACCAAAAGGCTGGGCACCCACTGGTGCCAGCCTAGTAGGAAGCAAGCAGGGTCTCAGCATTACCTGTGGAGTAAGCTTTTATGTACCAGCCAGAGACTGGCAGGGTGCTATGGCCATTCCAGTCAGGACCACCCAAAGTGAGCATCTGTTATTTCGTGCTTAACATTTCCTGAACACAATATTTGGACACAGAGTTAAGCACCTATAAGACCATATCAACTTGAGCATATACTCATTCCAAAATGGCAAGACGGTGTTCCTCTGTGGAACTTCCCAGGAAGCATCTTGGCCATCCCATACTGTGCACAGGGCTTCATCTGAGAATGCTGATTGCTCCAGCAGTTGCAAACTCATAATTAAGTATGATTCACATGGCTTTAGGGATCCATCTCCACAATGGAAACCTCAGGAAGACCCATTTTCCAGCTTTCGGTTAAGGCTATAGTGCTAAGCTATTTCTAGCAAGGGCATTACCAACTATATCCATTGCTAGCTTGGTTTCTCAAGCAAGTCTCTGGGCTTCTGTGGAAATACTTCCCTGTCTACCTCACGTGGTTTTATGTGGATTCTCAGAACAAATGAGCTGAATGCTGTAATAGTCAAAAGGAGGGCTAATAATAATGAGAGAAAACTCAAGTATGCAAACACACTCTATTTAGCAAAAAAATTTTTTTAAATAAAAAAGGAAACCATAGTGCTTCCTTTTATTAGAAGAGCTGAATGTCAGTCCCTCACGGGGCCTGGATGGGGGAAGCTGCCTGTCTCAGGTGTAGATGTTACTGTGACAGTCTTGCCAGCTTGGTCTTCGAATATTACACTGTGCTAAAGGATTGTGGGCAATTCCAGGGAGCAGAAAAGGTCTCTCAATGAAAATACCCTGAGTTTACTACCAGTAGTTGCTTTTCCGTGTGGCTACCGTGGAAATGCCACACATAGCTTCCATGAGTTGGTGGGGTAGACTGACCCAATAAACCGCTCTGTGTTAAAGACTCAATATACTCCGGAGTCCTTGAGGAAAAGCTGTACGTGGACCCCTTTTTTGTGTACGTGGTGCTGTTGGTAGAACCCAGGGCCTTGTGCATGCTCATGCTAGGAAAGTGCTCTGCTACTGGGCCACACCCTAATCCCCAAATACGGACACTTTGATCCAGAATGAGACCAGCATGCAGCTGGAGATATGGTGCTGGCGGTGGTCTTTGCTCCCTCTGACACTGCCCTTTACATAACCACTGGCTTTGTCCTCCAACCAACTACTTGCCCTTAGTTCCTGGGAGTTTGGAGGGGAGGCTGGTAATACACCAGCAGCAGTAGTAGAAAAGAAGAAACAACCTGATTTCAGTAGAAGTTTTCTAAAAGGATAGGTTTCTCAAGTTCCATTTGTAAAATGCCTTCTGTGTTTTTGGCCTTAGGGATTTTCATATTTGGGAATGGGGAAAGCACACAAGTTGTTGTTTTGGAAGTTTGGGGCATTTTAGCCAGGTTTAAACTACAACTACTACTGATAGTACCAGTGGCAGCAGTAATAACACCAAGACCAAGAAAAAGGCAAAAAGTGCATCTTCAGTGAACCTAGAGAAAGAAAGGTGTATCCAAGCCCAGCTTTCTTAACAGCCACAGCCAGAGCAAAACTGAACCCACTAACCGGTTAATCCATTAATGCAAGTACACAAAAATTAACTGCTGAAAAAAACAAGAAAAACAAAACAGACAGAAGAATAAGTATTCCTGTTGCCTATTCATCTCAGTAGATACTGGCAAGATGCTCACTCACACTGTACCCCGGACTCTTCCCTGACTTTGCCCATTAAATGTGCTGAGAGAGTCACATTTGTTAGGAGCACAGCATATAGAGTATTGAGTATGGAATGTGCACTGCACCTTAAAAATAGTTCTGAATGAGAAGTGGCCAAGCATGGACACTGGTCAGATTTCACATATAAATGAAACCAAGCCTGTGCCCAGAGGATTGAGTTTCTGGGTCAGAAATCTCAAAGAGCTCTTCTCCCTTGCTCCTCCCTTTATCCTTTAATCACAGAGGCACATTGAGCATCTGCGATCCCTCTTGCTTCAGCTGTGAAATACCAGCCCCAGTAAAAAGTACATGTGGTTTATGCCAAGTATTCGTGCACATGTGTTGACCTCTTATACCACGTTTGAAAGAAGTGGTGGCAAAACTGGCAAGGACAAAATGAACTTAACCAGAAATGAAGTCATGATGATGGAGGTATCATATTGTGCTTATATGTAAGTAGTATTGCTAGAGATTAGACTGAAACACTTCTAATGGGAAACACTTCTCTCTTTTTCTTTTAAATTTATTTAGATAGTGATATTGTCCTATGAAGTGTGGAAAGAATTTATAAGCCACATTCTCTGAAGATGTTCAGAAAATTAGTGTGTGAGTCTGTGTGGGACATAGCCTCTGGGATAGAGGGATGCATATAGGAAGTGGTTTTCAGAATGCTAATAAGGGAGAAGGGTGGTCTTGATGACAAGATTAATGTTTTGACAGCCTCAGAAACAAGGAGGCATGGTATTTGTTTTTAAAACTGCCTCAGTAGAAAGATGATGAGGATTAGTGGTGTCTAATCAGAACCATAGGTAAGTGATCGAAGGATGGCTTTTAGAAACAAACCTTTGGGAATTTGGTGATAATTTTCTAGAGGACATATATTTGTCGTGTGAAAACATACCCTAAATGCATGTGATTGTACAGTTCTGTGGCAGTAGAACCATACTAGACCAAAACTTTTGCCATAGTGTGTTTGTATTTTATTCTTTGTAACACTGGAGTGACGTTGGCATCTCAGCTAGGAGCAGCTATCTATAAAAGTTTTAATATCCCATTAAAAAAAGTAAAAATCCAGTAAAACAAAGCCTCTGATAAATCCATTGGCTCTGCAGGGTTGCACGGTCTATACAGATGTATGTGGTGAACCTCAAGGGTCCTCTTCTGTGACCCCTCAAAGGTGTTTGGCTCAAACAGAAGGGCACATTTTAAATCAAATGATGCTGAAGTATGAGGCTTATCTCTTTGTACAAAATAATGATTTAAACATTTATTAAGATTAAAGCCAAACTAAATAGTTTAAAGTCATGCAAATTGAGCATCCCTATTCTGAAATCCAAAATTCTCCAATAGCCAAAACTTTTTGAGCACTCACATGACTCCATAAGCAGAAAATTCTACTCCATGAACATTCATGCACAGAATTATTCAAACATGCATGAAGTTACCTCCAGTCAATGTGTATAAAGTGTATGTAAAATATAAGTGAATTTTGTGTTTAGATTTGTGCCCCATCCCACAAGGTATCTCATTATGGATATGTAAATATTCCAAAATCCAAGAGTCTGAAATCTGAAACTTTTCTGGTCCCGTGCATTTTTTGTTTTTTTGGTTAGAACTGTTTTTTTTTTTAAACTCTGGGCTTTGAACTTGTAAATTAGGCACTGGATCTACCACTTGAACCACACCTCTAGACCATTTTGCTTTGGTTATTTTGGAGAATGGGTCTCGAAGTATTTGAACAGGCTGGCTTCGAATCTTAGCTTCCCAAATAGCTAGGATTATAGGCGTGAGCCACAGATACCTGGATGGTCCCAAGCATTTTGGATAAGGGATACTCAACCTGCATATAGAAACTGAATTAATAGGCTTTTGTTTTTCTTAAACAAAAGCTCCATTAGGGCATATGTTTAATGTCTAACAATATAAATCTTTTGGCTAGTACCTAATGCATTAAAATATGGAGGGTCTTTGCATT